TAATCCACTATCCGGTGATACATATCGAATAATTACAGCCAGTTGGTCAATATGTGATAAATTTGGCGTTGAATCAACAGAGATACTAAAATACCCGGCAGTTTTTATATCTTGTAAAATCGATTCCTTAATTTTTAAGGCCATCAAATGGATGACTTTATCACATATTGTTTTAGATAAATAGGATGATTTTCCAGAACCGCTATTACCGTATTGTCCAATATGAGTCGCAAGAAATGGATCATACCTTGCAATCAGTTCCAGGATTCCCAAATAATTGCCATTATTTGGTGAGCCGAATTTTTCTTTACTTCCTCGGAAAGCTAAGCCGCGTTCTGCTAAAGTAGAAACGTCTATTATTATAATAACGTCTATTACTCGACGTAAAACTTGTTTCCAATATTCTTTTTCTTGGATAATTTGCATGCCAAGTTGTAAATCCAAATTCAATTCACGTCTCCTCGTTAAAAATGAAAACAGAGCATTTCTGTGGTCTTCAGAATTTTCATGTTGTTGAATACAAATTAGATTACGCCAGTCAATGAATCCTTCGTTTGCAAGAAATGTTGACGATGCAAAAAATATTTTACATACGAAACAATAAACACATTCCGTTGCAGGAGAGTAAACTAACCAATCTTTATCATACTTTTCTCCGTTAACTTTTATTCCGTGAAAAATATTTTTAGAGCAATATCGAGAAGCATTTGTGAATTCTCTCTTCAATTTATCAAATGGTCCATTGCGATGTTGACAGTCTGAAGGTCTCTTTTTAATTCAGTAATCAACATCCGTTTTAGACAAATGACTCCAAAGACCAACATCAAAACACTGAATATTTTGCAACGATTTTGAAAGGATATTATCATTATTGGTATTGGGCATGTCATTATCCATTTGATTTTTCTCAATTGCATTTGTAGATACTTCAGCTGTCTTTGAATTTAAATCAGCGCCTTCAAGCGGATCCTGCATGTAAATTCAAAATATAAATGCTACGTTATCTTTCATTCAATTAAATTAAATCACTCCAAATTTAAAGTGTTTTGTCAAGTGTATAAAATATGAAGTGTGTAAAATATGATGTATTGTCACGTGTGTAAAATATGGAATATGAAAGGCATAAATTCTTTTTAAAACGCTGGGCCGACAATTTTTTTTCTAAATTATTAACTTATTGTTAGTTAAATATTTAAACACAATACCTTTGAATTTAGGTTTTCAATTTCTTGCGATTTTTCCTTTGCACTTATAAAATTTGTAATTTTTGTTAATTTTTTTCGAGCTTCTTCCAGTTCTTGCTTTCTTTTTCTTTTTTGAGAGCCACTTTCGTATACTCTTTTCATTGTTAATAAACGATTTCAGAATAATAAAGAAGTATCCGCGATTATGCGATTTCAAGTTAGAGCACTTGACCTATTCTATTCGCGGATTGTCTTCTTGTTTTTTTTCGAGATTTTTTATTTTTACGCATGCCGCATGCAGCATGCATTAAAACAAAAGATCTCGAAAAAGACAAAAGAAAAACAGTGAAATAGTTTGTTAAAAGTTGTACGCAATGATACGTAACGATAGCGAAATCGTCGTTAAAAGTTAGAGAATCGCTCTACTGCAACGGGATGTATGTATTATTTTCGTATGTAAAATATTTTCTGCAGTGATTTTATTAAGACTTTATAGAGGCCCCTGCAGATTTATCTCTAGTAATACAAAAATGAGAAAATATTTGTATGTATTGTGATATTGAAAACGCATTTTTGAAATTTTTTCCGTCAATTTAATACTCGTATGAAATTAGTTGTATGGAACCTTTGAGGCCCCTGCTGGCGCGGAGCCCTAAGCAATTGCTTATATTGCTTATGCCAAAACCGGCTCTGTATACATGCACGAACAACCAGCACAGGTTTCTTTTACTCCCTATATTCTTAGTTTCATATACATATGAGTTCACTCTTCTTTATATGAAACTTTGCACAAATATGATAAAATAAAAAACTGTCACGTTTATTCATCGGTTTTATTTTTAATGATGAATATATGATTTATAACGGGTGCATTCAGAAAACACAACGGTTGTGTGAGTGCTCATCGCCATTGGAGTATTCTATCAGATCTTTTAAAGCCAAATCAACGTCGAATGTTCACAAGACATACACAACAGTTGTGCAACTGTTGTGTTTTCTGAACGCACCCAATGATGAGTTTATAGTAGATAAAATTCAAATATAGAAACTTTAGAAACTTAAATTTTACAAATACCTTAATTATTTAAAAAAATTTTTTCACGATTTGTCTTGATTTTAATCTCTTAGGTGTATACGCTGTCGATATCTTTGTTTAGCTGATCGTGATGCCTCCGATACGTTAAATTTAAATTCAACCGTTATTACATTTAAATGTACGGAAGCAGCATCTAAAATAAAAATACTTTTTTTAAATAATTAGCTAATATTTTAAATAATTTTCTGATTGATTTAATTATAAATTTATTATAGATTTATATAAAATATATTTTGGAATATAAAAATTTTCTAAATACGTTTATATACGCAAAGGGCCAACTTTAAGGCCTTACATCTAAATAATTATTAGGTACTTAAAATAAAAAATTCTAAATACCTTTATTACTTCATTTTTCGAGATTTTTACTGCTGTAATCTTATTTTTTATGCTTGAATTAAGATTACAACAGTAAAAATTGTAAAAAATGATGTAATAAGGGTATTTAGAATTTTTTATTATAAGTAATAACTGTTTAGATATAAAGACTTAAAATTGGCCCATTGCAGGCTATAATTCAGACGATTACTTGTTTGTGAGTTGCACATGCAATAGTATTAGTATCGCATATGCAACTTACGAGAATTTTCATATTGCAAACTTATTGTCGTTAAATTATATAAAATATAATTTTATCGTAGACATACCATATAAAGCATCAATTATTCGTAGATCCGATAATTTTTCCTTTGTAGAGCGGTTATTATTATCTTTGCCTGTCCATGTGAATAATAGAGCTACATTTAAAAATCTCTTTAAACGCCAAATGTATAATTTCTCTTACATTTCGTCCTCCAATGGACCCAAGGTATTCTACCTATTATAGAAAACATGCATTAACGCAATAAAATATTGATTCATTAAAAAGATAAGATCAAAAAATTATTATTATTTTAGTATATTCTGAATCGTTTGATTGATTGAACTCTAATGCTATTTCAATAGTTTGAAACGGGATTATATTTGGTTTCGCAGATTTTTTATTAACTATTTTTCGATGTGAGCATTCATTCGTCATCCTGTTAACAGAAAAATTAAATAAAGTGTTAAATACTCGATAATGTTCTAACAAGACATGTTTCTGAAATTCCTTACATTTTAAATAATGAGAGAGAAGTATTAAATAAACCTTAAAATTTATTAGTGCCACGGATGATTCCTGTCTTATATAAGAATTTCAAAAAACGAATAAAAAATTACATTATGGGGACGAAGAATTACTGGAAAAGATAGAAAAAAGTATCGTAAACACAAGTCTATTAACATACAAAAAAACACACACAGGTAAGCTATTTTTAAATTATTAAAAAAACTGTTTAATTACCTGAATTCTGTCATTACGTTTTTCATACATTCCATTACTTGCATTTTAATAGTATTTATAATATCAATATTTCCCTGTAGAGTATTCTGATGGCACGTTATGGTGGAATTAAGATGTTCGTCATTAGAAGTGAGTATATCATTAGGTTGTGTATAAGTGACATTATTATGAGTTATTGGAACTGATAGCAAAGTCAGTGAAGTCTGAAATTCACATAATGTTAAAGATAAATAACATTGAGGTGAAGGTATATAAGATTGAAATAAAGGTGTATAAGAGATTAAAGGTGTATAAGAAGTTAATGGTAAATCGATCATTGAAGTAGTTAACGGAAAAGATAAAGTTTGAGATTCAGATATTGTTTGAGAATTTGCAAATGATAGATGTTTAATTGTTGAAGAACATAACTCAGGTAGCACATGTTCGTTTCAGAAACGTTTCACAAATGTTTCTTTGAAATGTTTTATAACGGTTTTTAAAAACGTTTCTTGTTTGTTAAAATGTCAATCCGAAAAACGTTAAGAGAAATGTTATTTTTCCGACAAGAAATGTTTAAGAAACGATTAAAAAAACGTTTTTTTTATCCACGCGCGAAAAAGATGTTTTTTTTCTCACGGAATTAATAAAATAATACATTCATATATAAATAAATGTATTGTTGTGTATATACTATATATACAGGGTGTCTGGCAATAATCGCCCCACCGGTCATATACAGGTAGAGGAGGTCAAATCGAGTAGAAAAGTCCTTTACCATTTTTTAATTTTCATAATAAGTACTGAGTAATTAACGAAAAAAGATCGGCGAATCCGCGCGAGTAAAGCGCGCACGGTGAGAAGGACATCCCACTGCTATGCGATCACTAGGCGCGCGATGAAGCGTTGGGAGGAGCGCTCTACAAATGACAATGGCAACATACGAGCGGCGCGTAACGCTAGATCCTTGTGTCCTAGTGATCGCGTAGCAGTGGGACGTCCTTCTCACCGCGCGCGCTTTACTCGCGCGGATTCGCCGATCTTTTTTCGTTAATTACTCAGTACTTATTATGAAAATTAAAAATGGTAAAGGACTTTTCTACTCGATTTGACCTCCTCTACCTGTATATGACCGGTGGGGCGATTATTGCCAGACACCCTATATATATATATGTATATATATAAATATATATAAATATACTTATTATAATAATAATAAATTATATTTTTTTAATCTAGTGATTCGAATCAAATTATATTCATGACATTTAAATTCATCAACCAATTAAAAGGTGACCAGTTGTACATCAGCGTTCTCACATGCGCGAGAATTTAGTACGTAGAGTTCGTTGTTATATATTTGACCCAAGTCTGGTGTTAGCAGTCCAGTATACATTATAGATGTTTGTGATTAGGCCGGTGTACCGTTCTAGCAACTCTGGTTCTAGGTTCTAGTGTAGCGTCAAGTGCACATACCGATTCTCACATTGTGGTGTTCATATTCTTGTGTGATAACGTCCAATTAGAAAGACAAATATGTCTCTCTTCGACATTTTACCAACCGAAATATTGCTAATAATTTTTAATTTATGTGATGTGTATACTTTACTACAGCTCAACAGGGTATGCAAAAAATTTCATGAAATATCAGAAATTGTCTTAAATAAAAAAAGTAACCATTTGCTTGTTACGAATGAGGTGTCGAAAAAATTTTGTGAACGGTAAGTTAAATATAGTTTAATTCTTATTTGTATTTCAATTTATTCTAAAATTTTTTTTGTAACACGTAAAATGTCGAACCAATTTTTCATAATTTTCACTTCATATTATTGTTCCTGCTCTGTCTTAAAATCATATGTTCGCTAATGCTCCACAGTATTATATTTCTCCAAGTAACGACTTTTGCCAGTATATGTATTTTCTATAGTTTTTCTATCTGTCTCTACCACGGTTTATTACATCACATTTCCATTCTCTCAACAAGCACATCAGCGCGGATGTGCCCCCTCTTTCATTTTTCAATCAATAGCTATGAGAAATTTACTCATTATATCTGTCGACGTTACAATATTCTCTGTACTTTTGCACAAAATAAATCGATAAAATCACTCTTAATTTTCATCAAAGCAATTATTAATAGAAAATTATTTTCAGATAACAAAAATATTTTTTTTTAAATAAAGTACAATATATGTTGATAAATCTTTTTCATACATACTAACGTTAAGTCATAGCTTTTTGTCGTATTTTTAGTTCTGCAAAACTTGATTTAATTTTTTAAGCATGTCTTTTTAAAATACATTTTTATATTTACATATTATCAGTATGTAAAATATTTTCGATTTTACATAAGATCACATTGAAGAGCGTACGTTTTACTTTCTTTTACAGATGTACAGAACAATTATCTTCGTACAACTGGAAATTTATTATGCATTACAACTGGAAATATGGAATATGTAATAAACGTTTCATACGTGACGTACTTATATATTCCACAGAAGATATGAGATTCATGAGAATGGAGGAAAAATGTCTAAAAATGACTGAAAATACAATTTGCTTTTATGACGAAGATATTCTTTCAGCTTTTAATCGTGCAAAGGACGGTAACATTACGGGAAACATAATATGTGGAACTTGTAACTGTCAATTTTCAAGCATTGCTTATTGCAATGATATAATTATAAGCGGCCACGAGTAAATATTTATTTATAAATTTTGTTTTACGTTTATTTTTTTTTATTTTTTACAAAAATTCTTGCAGAGATGGTAGTATTAGGCATTGGAGAATTGAATCGCGGAATAACATTAATAATATTCAACAATTAAAAGCACATTCCAATGTATATGGTGAACACGTTTCGAACATAGAAGCAACAACGCAACATATTATATCAAGTTCTTCAAATTTAATAAAAGTAAGATTAAAAAATTTGGAATTATGCTATGTTAATGTAGAATGTAAAAAGTCCGTTTTTATTTAGATACAGAAAAATACACTTGAAAATGATAATTTTGCGAAAGAAAACAAAACAATTTATAGAGGCAAAAAATTGATTCAGTCAATTTCATTAGACCCTACAGAAACAAAAGTTGCTGCTAGTACCGAAGAATCATTTCTAATTTATGATATTAAAAAACAGTAAGTTATGTTTCAATTAATTAATCGATATCTACAAATGTTCAATTAAAAGTTGACTCTGTTTGTACAGACACTATTATATGATTCTAATTTGTAATTATAACTTAATGAGTTATATAACATACTGGCGTAAACCTTAAAGGAGCGGTGGTGGCCCACTGTGGAAAAAAGAGGGCGGTATTAGAGAAAATCTGTCTGATGTCTGTTTTCGTTATTATAATATCCCCCATCATAACGGTAGTAAATGTGGAAAGAAAACAGATCCTCTAGTATTGCAATCTTTTGGCCGCAAACTACATATTAGTTTTTACGCGAAAGGCTCGCTCCAGTATATTATATAGCCCGATGACAGGAGAGGAGTTTAATCTCCTTTCTCTAGTCTTCTAGGTTTTTATGTATATTGGGAATAATATGCAATAAACTAATGTAAAGCTATTTTAGTTGTAAAGTAATGGATAAACGTATAACTGATAATACTTGTTCTCAACTACTATGGCAAGATCCTCACACTATTCTCATGCTTTATAAACAAGAGGTTAAAAAAATGGATATAAGGTATTAGATCTAATCGTTGACATTAACTGGTTATTCAATTAAGTTATATTTGCTACTGCAATTTTAGAACACGCGAATTTGTACGTACATGGAATGTTTCTGTCCTAAAAAGTGTTCGTGAATTACACAGTCTTTCTTCAGATAATTTGTATACTATTATGACGGGAACGAATGTTAGTGCAGTACTTCTATGGGATCAAAGATTAAATGATTGCATTCAAGTTTGTATTACTTTTAAATTTTATGTATCTTGCAATGACTTTTATTAATAATCTATTATTAACTGTCTTAAAAATTTTTAGACGTATGATATACATCATATTTTTAACAACCCTGTACATTCTGTGGAATTTGATAGCACCCATATGTATGCTGTTACAGATTTAAATGGTATGGTTGAATTTAATTTTAAGGAAGGAGACTATTATAATCGCGCTGAAAGGAAAAAGTATTTTAGCAATTATATTTAAATAAAAAAAGTTGACTAAGAATTTTTTTTCTAAAATACTTTGATTGTTTACATAAATTATATACATAATGTCACGAAATATAAAATGAATAATAAATCTTTGTATGTAATATGTATGCTTCAAAAATCCATATTTATCAAAATATAACATTAGCGTGTTCAAAATATATTAGTCCAAAACAAAAAAGAGATTTCTATTTCTTTGCGCTGGCCACTAATTAACAGGCAAGCATGTCCAATCCGTGCAAAAAACAACGTCGAAAGTATTTATAAAATTAATTTTAAATAAAAGCAACAAACTGGTATGTTTAAGAAATTTTTATATAGACTACGCGGTGAAAAATTTCTCATACATAATTAGACAAAAATAGTACATATCTAATTATACAAAATTATATACCGAATTTGTCCATACATAAATAGATACACCTATATATAAATGAATATAAATATATATATTTATATATGATTATATAAAGGTGTGTATGAGTTAATATACATTTTCTTGTTTTATTTTGTTGTGTTTTTATTGCGCAAACATAAAGTACATAATCATACATACATTACATCATATATACCTATACAACACACAAAGATTGCATACACATTGCATTAATCTTTCATCGCAATGTTGCAATATTGCAAATTTACTGCAAAATGTTGTTGCATCATTGCTGTGGGATTGCAGCAACGTTAAAATGTCCGCTTTTAGGAAGATTGTAACGAAATATTACAGTAATATTGCAATGTAATGAATTTGCAATAATTCATTGTTATTGCAATCTTAAAATAATGTTGCATATATTTTTATTTATTCGGACATTTATCTGTCCGATTTTTGAACAATCAGTTCAATATCTGAATTCCCTGTGTTGAGGTCGTATCAGAAAAATTAAATTGATAAAAATAATTACTATGTCTTTAATCTTACTAGCCATTCTTTGCAAGTTTCATGTAATCATCATGACTAAAACTTAAATACGAGATAGATTTTGCAACGCGCGTCGCATAGCGGTAAACGAACAAACTAGCAATTACCGAATATTGCTATTGCAATGTTATTGGAATGTTGCTGTCACATTCTCATGAAATGTTACAATTACAGGTTGCAATAATGTCTCAACAATATTACATTGCAACTTGCAAGATTGTAACATTGCTGCAATGTAATTGCAATGTTCTGTGCTGTATGGGCAGTAAGAGTGACTTGATGAGGTCCTTTCTTAAAAATCTCTTCTTTAAATACCCCAAGCACTAATTTTCGAACTATTTGTATCACTCATAAAATGTATTTATATCTCATGTTATTCATTTCTCATATTATTTAGAAATACAATAAATAACATATATCTCTTATAAATGTAAAATAATGTTTTTTATTTTATTTTGTTTATATTCCTCTCTTGCATGCACGCGCGCGATAAGAAAAGGTATAAAACTTTTAGAAAAGTAAATATTTCTAAATCAAGGCATTAAGTGAAATTAAGGAAAGTGACACAATTAGCCAGAATTTCTCGTTTATACAAAATCATATACAATTGCGTATGACTATATCTGAAATTTGCTTCTTACTTATATATGTTTATACATGATGCAAGACTTATACATAATCATATATTAGACTAACAGAGATTCATATATAATTATATATAAAATATTGTGGACATTATATATAAGTATGTATAAAAAGTACTTATATGTAATTCTATACTGCAGTCGCTCCATTTATATACAGGGTGTATTAGAACTGGCGGAAAAGTTTTTAATGCCAGATTCTTCATGAAATTCTAAGACGAAAAGCTCTTTACAAAAAAATGATCCGATGAATAGAATTTGAATGGTGAGGCATTAAAGTTGACGTATGGGAGCGCATGAAACTCGCGCGGTCAGGATCGGCACGACCGAGTTTAGCACACGTTTCACTCATGACTCGTATACTTCGTATACCTCGAGCCCCTGACCTTGTCGGGGCTTCCCCGTAACCTCGGTCCTGCAAAATTGGAGGATTGGTAACTGCTACTACAACAATGTTT